TTCTCTTTTTTCTTATATAATTCAATAATTTTATGATTTTTGATTCATCATAAAACCTCTTTTTTTCTTAATTTTTGCATCACTCTGATAAAAATTTGTTTTAGGTTCATGATTTATTAATATCTTTTTTATTTTAATAAAAATTATTTTTCTTTTATTTAAATAATGTTATATAAAACATAAAATTATCATAATAGTTGATTAGTTAATTTTTTTAAAACGTTCGATAATTAAACTAATTTCTTTATTAAAAGAAGAATATTCTGACACAAATTTCTTTTCTATCTCTGAAGATTGTTCAGTGACATTAACAGACTTTTCTTTCTTTAATTCATTTAAAAGATTAATAAGGTTTTGATTAAATGAGTTATTCTTTTTTATTAAGAAGAATGTAAATCCAATAGTTTCAATTGTGAGTAATAAATTTCTTCTTATAAGAAGATATTCTTCTTCTGTGAGATTATTAAATTGAGTGTTAATCCATTTACAGATTGATTCTAATAATTCATTTCCTTCTTTAACCTTTTCTTGAACAATACAATTCATTGTTTTAATAATCATTTGATTAAGGTCTCCTTCTATATTAAATTCTTTAAATTGATAAGGTTCTTTTGTTTTTTGTAATAGAACAAGAACTTGATTTAATGAATAAAGTTGTTGATATTGTTGATTATTTCTTTCAATATCATAAAATGGAGAAACTAGTTGAAGGTGGGGTAAAGAATAAAAAATTTCACAAAAATAAGCGTGTCTATCACAATTATCAATGAGTTCTGTTACTATGGGTTGATACATTTCAATGATTTTTTGAATTTTATTAATACATTTTTCTTGAATAAATTTATTATTTTCAAATGAATGAATGAGTGAGTCTTGAAGTTGTCTTAATACTTCAAATATATTTACTCCAGCTTTTGTACTTGACTTTTTTAATTCTTCTTCAAATTTAAATAAATCACTTAATTCTTCCCAATTCATAGAATCAATAGCTTGAGTTACATTATCTTTCATATAAATAGCATGGTCTTTATGAAAATTATAATACTTCTTTATTATTGATTCATATCTATCATTTATTCCTAATGAATAAAAAATTGGAAATATATGATATCCTAATGACTCTAATAATACATCTTTAATATCCATTCGTTGATGCATAATTTCTTCAACTGCTTCGTCTCTCATTCCAAGCATTAAATAACATTTTACTTGTAACATATGAAATTCATGTTCATCTTCATTTTTCTTTAATTCATCTTTACAAATTTTAATTGCTTTAAATAATGAATTTCTGTTATGTTCTCTTTGATAATTTGTATAAAT